GAAGAAAGAAGCAGGCCCTAGGTCTCACTGGAAACCATGGAGAAATCTCTGGTGCAGGGGAAGACACAGTGAGTCCAGTAGGGCTGGCCAGCTTTCTGGATGTGATGGTCTTGAGCCTTCCAGAGCTAGGGCTCAAGAGCTGGGAACTTGTGGGAAGGAATAGGCCTATCCTGCTCTGGGTTCCTAAAGAGCAGACCCTGATCAAGGATCCATGAGGGTTAGTTTGGCAGAATCAGGAATTGACAAGGCTTTAGCTGCTTTGCTGGGTACCATCTGCTTTCACTCTGAGTGGGGAAGGAGGCACAGAGGAGTTAATGAGATTTCTGTACCATAACTGTGTTCCCTCCTCCACACACTGGAGTTCTTTAGTTGTGTGCCAATAATAATAGGGAAAGGAGAGTACTCTGGCAATCCTGAGGTTCTCATACTTGACATCACAGCCACCAGCAGGGCAGGATCCACCAAGTGCTGCTGTCTTCAAATGACCCCTGTGGTTTCTGAGTTACCAACTGTTGATGGCACACAGGTCTGCAGTTCAGCCTGAGAGCTGTTAGATTCAGTGGACCTGGACGGATACTGTCCTCATTCTGCCAGCTCTGGGTGTCTTGGACTATCATTAAGGACTGCTTTGTGAACTGATGACCATGTTCTGCCCCTTCATGGCTTCCCCATTAACATGAGAGTCTGAAACATAGAGCAAGTGAGGCGGGCATCCATATACTACCTGAGTGTGACAGTAGCAATTTGATCCTGGTTTTTCAAAGCACTTGGCTGAGTGCTCTAAAGCTACAGTGCATTCTCTGTAGCTGTGAATAAGCCTTAGGAGGATGTCCCCTGGGTCACATTGTCTAGGGAGACAGAGGAAACCTGCTGACTTCTGAGATATCCACCTCGCTATAGAGAGATGGGAGAACTGACATTCACAGTGGGGGAGACTCAAGTCTGGTCTTGGAGAAACAGCTAGGACAAAGACTCATCTGTCAGTTACATCCTGAGTATCCTTCAGTGTGTCAGGTTTGACTGAGATGAGGTAGTGCATAGGGCAGTTACTGTGCTTTGACTTCTAGACTTCAAAATTACTGAGATACTTAAGTTTGTCTAACTTGGATGTCAGGGTGATATAACATCTGAATGGACATAGTTTACCCCACATCATCATTTGTTCTTGGGTCCACCAAGTACACTTCTGAATCCACAGTCCAGTCTTCTGAAGAATTTGCAATCCAGGCTGAACATGGTGCTAGCTCCCCATTTCAGGACTGCCAGGAAATTCACAAGTGTGAAGATGGCTCTGGGAAAGGTCTCGGGCAAAGGACCCCTCATATGTCTCTTGTGTCCTTTGCCTGCCTTTCACATGCTCCGATGAGTATTCTTTAAGCTGACTGTGCCCCCCTTTCCTTCCTAAGGTCATGTGATTTGTCACAGGTGGCTCCAGATGAAGGACTCATTAGTCTTTGTGTAGCACTTGGTGGCGCAACATAACAGTGACACACTAAATACTGTCCCCATGACTGTGATACATTTGTCCTTCCATAGCTTTGTCTGGCCTCTCACTAGTCATTCATGTTTCCTCACAGTTGAGTGCAGGAATGGACCATCACTCTTCCTGGGAGTGTTTGCTCTTGTGTCCCAGGGCTCACCTGGAGAGTCCCAGTTCTTATCATCCAGCCTGACATGTCACTAGTTGATCACACATTTGCTAATATCATGTTGGCTAGAATTTATTGTGCTGATGATTCAGGGAAATTTTTCTCATTAACTAAGGGACATTTCTTTGTTCTGACAGGACACCCACAACCTCCCACCATATCCACATACTAAAACAGCCTTGTGGATCCTCCACAATGTTCTTGTTGACATCAGGGGATCGTTCTTTCCTTCCCACCATTCTGACTTAATTCCCTAGCAATCTTTATTTCTCATGTTATTGATTAGAGATCTCAAGAAGGGGACAGTCATTGCCTGGTATGTGTTTTGAAGTGAGTCTTCAACTTCCCATACATGAAGTAGTGAAAATATTTAGTGAATCAGAAAGATCTCTGGCTTTGTAAGGAGGAGGTGCTGAAGGTCTTTCCTAGTGTTTCTGAGAAGGCCCCTGGGAATGACAACATGACTTTTGGTGAACTGAAGAAGAGATAGTTAGTGGATAAGTGAGGGCTGCTGGAGGTGACCCTAATCGTCCTTGCTATGGAGATGCTGTTCTATCCTGGAGAATCCTTGGTAATGTGTGATGTCACCAGTGTTGTGGCAACACCAGTGTCTGTGGGTTATTCCTTCAGTTCCCATAGACATGTTGGCAAGACTGAGCAGGCTGCTTGGGAGAGAGAATGGAGAACATGGAGAAACCAGAGAGAGGCAGAAGGAATATGGCCTTTGGTCTCAGTGTAATACCTGGAGAAATAGATGGTTCTGGGGAAGGCAGAGTGAGTCCTGAGCAGGGGACAAGAAGCTTCCTGGAGGAGGAGAACTTGAGCTGGGATATCTAATAGGGTAGCTCAGCAGCTGGGAGTTTCTGGGTAGTAATGGGCCAGTCCAGCTTCTCTGGCTTTCTAAAGAGCAGACCCAGAGTCAATAGTTTCTGAAGGTTAGTTTAGGAGAGCCATGAATTGTTCATGCTGGAGCTGCTTTTCTGGGAATTCCTTCAATTCATTCTGAGTGAGAAAGAGGATTGGGAGAAACAGATGGACCCCTGAGCTGTCCCTCTCTGGGTAGGGTGTTGGTGCACTTCATCCTAGTGGATTCCTTCAGTTTCCATGGAAATCTGATGCCAATAGGAAGGGAGGGAAACCCCCTTTGTCCACACAGCAGATATACAGATGCTTTGGTCCTGGACACATGTGATCAGGACTTGGTCCTAGGACTAGGGACAACAGGACTTACTTGCATCACATCAGATATGACCTGACACTGTCCTCCAATTCTACTTGGCTGGGCTAGCTTATGCCTTCCAGGACCAGTTCGGGCTGCACTAGGGAGTGAGGCACATGATTAATCACAGTGGTTGATTCTAGCATGAATCTTAGTAGTTCTTATTAATAAAATCAAAACTGAGGCCTGTTCTTGGGGTGAAATGCTGGATGGTCAGAGAGACAGAACAAGCCACAGCTAACCTCACCTGGCCAACTTCTCAGCTGGTCTTGTTTCCTCAGACTGGAAGCCTCTGTGTCCTCATATCCGAATGGCTCTGATCTGTGCTTTAGGAGCCTGAAAGCTTAACCAGCCAAATGCTTCTAGTTTCTGGTCCTCGTGCCTTATATACCTTTCTGCTTTCTACCACCACTCCCTGGGATTAAAGGCTGGCTTTCTGGGATTAAAGGCGTGTGTCACCATGCCTGGCCGTTTCCAATGTGGCCTTGAACTCACAGAGATCCAGAAAGATTTCTACCTCTTGAGTGCTAGGACTAAAGGTGTGAGTGCCACCATTTTCTAGCCTTTGTATCTAGTGACTGTTGTGCCTCTGACCCCAGACAAGTTATTAGGGTGTACAATATTTTGGGGAACAAAATACCACCACAGTTGAGGAAAGAGACAGAGCTCAGGGGCCCCAGTTTGAGGATAGCTGCCCTGCTGTTCCGAAGCTTCACTGGGTTCCTAGAATTTTCTCTTCTTTAGGCTTCTTCTTGGGACTCAGCATGGACTCTCCTGGTCCTATGCCATTCAAGAGTACAAGTTAATTTGTCTTTATCTACCTGCAGGGACTACTGGGGAGGTACCATCCCAACTCTCCAACTTCACTGAGCAGGAGCAGGAGATGAAAAAAACTAGAGAAACTCACCATTCGGTTACATGACATGGAATGTGAGAGAAATGAGCTGCGTGGAATCCTGGCCAATTACACAAACAAGGATTTGAACAACAGGTAGTCATTATGCCCAGTTCTCTGCTGACCATCTTGACACCACAGTATCAAGCCCAGGTTTCCTGAGGAACAGGAGGCTGAAACTCAGGGTGTCCTGCTGCCTAAACTAATTTTCCTGAGTGGAGTCAAGATCCAGAACTTGAAACCTGGTTAGGAGTGAGCTGGGGACAAAGGCTGTTCTGCTTCCTCCAAATGAACACCAGAGCCTGTGGCCTGAATCACAGTCTGGGGATAGGGGCAGTAATGTGTGAGCTCTCAACATGCATTTCAAGATGCCTTGACAGGTGTTGGCTTGTGGGAGATACTAGGTTCTGTGAGTTTGTGGTGAGTCTTTGTACTTGACCAGCAGATGACTGTGTACTGAAAACTCCTGGCAGCAGCTGGAGGGGCCTGGTCCATTCATCCATCTCAGGGTGTGGCTGGAAGGCCTGGAGCTCATCACTGCTCCTTTCTGGTCTTCTTATTCTCTGTGACAATGTTGCATCCCAATATTTCTTGGGCATCCTGATTTCATGTGGGGTGTGTGTGTGTGTGTGTGTGTGTGTGTGTGTGTGTGTGTGTGTGTGTGTTCCTGAGAGTCTGGGAATGTGACAGGGTCTGGCGACTTAACTTAGTTCAGGTGATGGTACTGTTGAAGCAAGGGAACCCCACTTTGAACAGCACACCTCCTGGTCACTGTGCTCACCTTGGTAGAACATTAGAATCACCTGTGCACTTTATAAAACTATCGTGAAGTGGGGCTCCTCCCTGGAAACACTGATTGTGTGCTCTTGGTCTCTGTGTGGCTATAGGCACCCAGAATGAGAGTCCCTGTTCTGAAAACAGGAGAAATGTTATCATAGGTTTCTTGTGTGTCCAGATATGTGGCACAGATTCCTGGGAACTTCTTAGAGCACTTATCTATAGCTCCCAGCCCACTGAGGGTGCTCATTCAGCTGTGGCTTCCTCCCCTTAAACCTTCTGGCTGTTATGTTCTGAGCACAGGATAGGATGTTTAATAAGCACCAGGAAGTCCCATTGTTTAAATGCCAGGTTGTGGCTTCCACTGGGCTGGAGTAGTCCTTGACACAACCTCGTTCATATTGTCCTTGTGGCCTGTGTTCATGGGGTTCTTTTCTCCTGGGGCCATGCCTACCACAAGCTGAATTTTGAGCTTGAGATGCTTGAAATGGAACACAAGCAGGTGATGTCGGCCCTCCAGAAAATACCCATGGAGATTAGTGATGCCTTGGACAAGTGCAAGGGGCTGATTGAGGAGACTGAATCCTTTAGGTAAGTGCCCAATAGCTTGGGAGGGACTGTTTCTGCCCTTCTTTGTCCTTGACCCAAAGTGAGGCTCTGGTTCTAGCCTGTCTGTCTCTGAGCCAGTTGCCTGCCTTTGGACCTTTGATTTGTGCCTCTTGGACTCAGTTTTGCTAAGTGTGAAAAAACACTGAGGACTCCCATCATAGTCCAACCAAACTCAGGAGCCCTTAACAGAAAAATGATTTGCAGCATAAGAGGATGTCTGGCAGCCCAGGTCCTCTGGGCCCTGGCAGGGGCTCCAGTAATCTGATTTTGCTTGGGATCTGTAGACAGAATTTATACCTGTTAGGACTTCTGCCCACCTCAGAGAGTATTTGTCCTCTACCTGCTGATGCTTTCCCAAGGCTTGAACAGTCAAGAACAGGTGTGGGCTGCACCCTCTTCTTAGAGGCACAGGATCCCTTTTGGTACCAGGATTTTCAGAAGTAGTTTGAATCTGTGGAATTTGGTTTTTCTCTAGATTCAGCCTGCATTTGAGTGATGCTGGCTTGGCTACTAAGAGCTCCATTCATGTGCTGTCTGCAGGCCTCCGACTTTTCATGGAGGTAGGGAAGGCAAATGGAGGCTTGCTTTGGCTCACCATGTTTTGGTGATTGTTTAGTTACCTCAATGGCCGGGTCCTACGAGAGTGTTCTCAGCTAAAGAGGAATGTACATGTATTGAGACTCCAGAACACACAGCTGTGGAAGGAGCAGATTGAACTGCAAAAGACCTGTGAGGAGGTGAAGAAGCTTTTGAAAGAGGCCCATGAGAAGATCTGTGACCCCTGTGCTGAGCAGCAGCAGGTAGGCTGAGGGGCAGGCTGTCCAACTGTCCAACCATAAACATAGAGACTCCCATGTAACCATCCACCCACCCATCCAGAATCCCAACTCCATACCATCCAATTGTTCATTTCTGTGATCATTCACAAGTCTTCCTGTAGAGTGAGCCTCTTACTAGATACTGGATGATTGGCAAACAAACGCTCCTGCTCTGCTGGAAGCTGCAGTACATTCAGAGAGATGGATCAGTCACATATCACACACCTACATGTCATTATATTAGGAATCTGTTATGCAGGGAGATACTTGGAGAGTACCACAGAACTCTCATTGATTAGGTCAGTGGCCTGTGGCTCATTTGCATTCCGGGGTCATGTGAGATCATAAGTAGGAAGCAGCTTGCAAGGACTAGAGCCCTAGGCCAATGCCAAGTGAATGTTTTTCATTGTCAACTTTTAGCGTGGCACATGGTCTTCTCCTTTCTTCCTACATCCCAATGTGTTCTCTTCCCTTAGGTTAACTCTTGGTCCATACTGTCAGAAGCCTGAGTATCAGCCTGTCAGCCTGTTTTCTGTGGGTGGTGCTGGACAGTTCTCCCATCCTGGAGTTTCCAGTCTGGAGCTGACTGAATGACCATAGATGTGGGAGGACTTTGACAGCCTAAGGGTTGGAGTGACAGATTTGAGGCTCCAAGAGAACATTTTTTCCAATCATCTCAACATAGTTTGATTAAACTTTGTGCTCTCTCCTAGGCATTTTTAGTCCCCAAGGGAAGGATAGCTGTTTGCAGGTCTCTGTGAAAGATCTCATGTGCATAATCTAAACTCAACTGTTCACTCCATAAGATGTCCTCTTCTTTTTTTCTGCTCTCTTTTGATTTCTGTGGTCTGTGTGATCTATGCAGGCATGTGTAAATGTATACACTTGTGGGTGTGTTTAGAGACTACATAATGAAATCCCATGTTGTCATCTGTTGCTTAGTCTCTTGGTACCTTGAACCAAGGTCATTCACTGAACCTGAAATTTTCTGTTTGGGCTAATCTGGCTGATCAGCACTCTTTGGGTCTCCTGTCCCCAAAGGGACCGTCTGTCTTGTTTTGTCTCATCTAATTGTCACAAGTTTCAATTGCTCAGAAAGAAAAAGGAGGGAGGAGCTTTCTCTTGTGTTTATACATTTTTATTGCTTTGGTATACATGTGTTTTCTAATAAATAACAAAAATCAAACAATACAGCTATTTTAAAAATAAAAACTAGACTTCTTCCCTTTCACTACACTGTGCTAACACCACAGGAAATGCCTTGTTTGTCTCATTGGCTTCACACCACGGAATCCCACAGTCCATCTCTTTGCTGACATTGTGTTGCTGACTATATCCTGTGCGTGGCTGTGTCTTAGAACAGATTCCCTCTCATAGTTGTGCAGAGTGCTGTGTTCCTGAAAAGCACTGCAGGTGATGTCACTGGCCTCTTTCTGACTGACATTGGGTCTGCATTCATATCATATGCACTGTAGTCTTTTGACAACTTCCTGGGTGTTGACCATGGGTTACTCTCTTTCACTTGAGCTATCCAGGTCTTCCTGGAGGAGCCATGGTAAGTTTAGTGAAGAGATTATGATGAGTTGATTTGGAACCTGTGAGATCAGTGAGTTTTGGGATGTATAAAGTTCATGGAAGGAAAAGTGAGTGCAGGCCAGGGTAGCAGAGCCTGACTGAGTCTAAGAGCCTTGTACACAGCAGAGAAGACCCATGACCTCCCCCTGCATCAGAAAAGGTGCTGCAAGGCAGCAGTCCTCTCGTTGGCCATCCTAGGTTCAGGAAGTGTGTGTGTGTGTGTGTGTGTGTGTGTGTGTGTCTGTGTGTGTGTGTGTGTGTGTGTCTGTGTGTGTGTGTGTGTGTGTGTGTGTGTGTGTGTGTGTGTGTGTGTGTGTGTGTTGTGCATTTCTGTCTATCTGTGTGGGTGAACCACTGTATGTGTGTGAATGATGGCTATTATTTGGACATTAATGTTCCTTTGGTTTCTGTATATGACCTTCTATGGGTAAGTGCTTGTATGTGTGTTGGGAGTATGGGTGCTTAAAAGTGCAAGTGTGTGTTTGTGTGTGTGAATGTGTAAACTCACATGTGTTTTTCTCTGAAATTACTCATGAAATATTTTTAATGATGATGGAGACTAAATTTATTGAGAAAGTACTGTGCCTATCTCTCATGCCCACTGTATTCATTTCTCATCCAACGAAAGTTAATCTTCTTCTCAATAGTATTCCTGGTGATGGCTCCTTTTATTAGAATTGAACATTTTAGCGCATTACAGTGTGCAAGTATATGTGCATACATGTACTTGTGTGTGTCTCTGACTTTTTGTGTGTGCCATTTGATTATATGGAAAAAAATGGCCTTTGTCAAAATCCAACCTCCATTGATGATGAAAGTCTTGGAGAATCTAGGGATATAGAGGATATATTTAAACATAATAAAGTCCTTGTATAAGAAGCCCATGGTAACATCATGCTAAATAGAAAACAAGAAATGGATATTCACTCTTTCCGCTCCTATTCAATATAGTACTTGAATTCTTAGCTAGAGCAATAAGACAACTGAAGTAGATAAAGAGGATACAAATAGAAAAGGGGGAAGTCAGAATGCCTTATTTGCAGATGATATGATTCTAAACAAATAAAACTAAAAATTTTCAGAAGTCCCTTAAGGCTGATAAACACATTCATAAAGGTGGAAGAGAGCAAAACTAACACAGAGTAGTCAGTGGCCTTCCTGTATACCAATGACAAACAAACTGAGAAAGAAATCAGGGAAAAAATTCCACTCACAATAGGCTTAAAACACATTAGACATTTGAATAGCATACTTTTAAAGACACTATTAATAAAACAGCTATGAAGTACCCAAGAGAAATCTAAATATATTCAAGACCCTTAAAGCTGATGTTCTGAGAGAACTTCAAGACTTAGATGAATGGAGGTTTTTAAAGCTTGGTGGATAAGTAGGTAATAGAAAAGGTCATTTTGGCTAAATTGATAATACTAATGCAATAAATCTTGAATAAGGAAATGTGAGTACAATAAATCACCCTTTTCTGTGGAACTTCATAATCTAACAATAAATGCACTATTATGCGGCAAAGGATAATTTATAAAGTAGAAAAGGCAGGAACATCAAAGGTACTTTTAAAGAGAGAAAAGTAGGGAAACATGCCATATTAGAGAGAAATATGTCATATGATAATAAAAAAAAAAAACCACTTTAGTAGAGTTATGTAAGCAGTGGATGAGATTGGTAGTATGGATATTGCAACAGATACAGTGTTCCCAAACTTTGTAATTGGTGAAAAAAGAGGCTACAGGCAACATAGAAATTGATGGATTATCAGAGTATGCTCAGAGAATATGTCAAATGTTCTAGTTAGCTTTCTGTTGTTCTGATAAAAGTCCAAAATTCAATCTGGGAAAGTAAAGTGTTTATTCACCTCACAGGTTACAGTCCATCATCAAGGGAAGCCAAGGCAAGATCCCAAGGCAGGGGCTTGAAACCACACAGGAACACTGCTCACTGCTCTGCTCAGGTACCTTTCTTCTATGGCCCACCCTCTCATGCATGGGGATGCCACTACCTACAGAGGACTGAGACCTGCTCCCTCAGTTAGCAATCAAGAAAATGCCAAAGAAGCATACCTACAAACTAGTCTGAAGAAGTCAAACCTCAACTACTTGTCAAGTAGACAGCAATGATTAGCCATTATAGCAAGCCATAAAGGGGAAAACATTAACTTCAGGCTACTGCAAAAAAATAGACCCTCTATGAATAGAATTCTATGTCTAAAGTGAAGTTTCAAATGTATGAAGAATAATTTCAAAGAATGTATGTTGGAAAATGTAACTCTCTTTAAAATGAGTGACAATCACTCAAGCCACAAAGGAAAAGTTGGTAAACTTGGCTATTGAAGCCCCTTCTGGAGGCTGCAGGGTGGACATGGGTTGTGGCTGTTGGCTGCCAGCACCTTTGACCATCCTTGCAGTGTTTTGGTGGAGGAGTTTCCATCAGAAGCCCTATTCCTTATAAGCTTATGTTCTAAAGAAGTGGATGAGGCCCCTTCTGCTTGATGATTTGTGGAAGGCTGTATCCCATTTTCAGAGCCATAGATGTTGAAAGCTTCTAAAGCAGCACCAGGCACAAACCCAGTATTCTTGGTGGCACACACTGTAGTAGGCATGTTCATCATGCTAGTGTCAGTGGTGAGCTCTGTAACATGATTTAACTCTGGGGTATGATTGGTTTCCTGTTGCTGCTGTCTCCAAATCCTGACTCTTTGACCACCAGAGAGACTTCAAATCTTAATAAATCATTTAACAATAGGAGGCTACTAGCTGTTGTTTACAATGAAGACTCCACAGATGTCTTCCCAGGGTTCTCCTATCTTCAGTAGGAGTTTTTCCTTTCTCAGAATGCATGGAGTAAGCAAGATGTGGCCTGGAGGAGTTCAAGTCTAAATTCACAGTCTCCTTCTGACACCGCACTCTTTCTGACAGGTCCAGTGTTTGCTTTCTTCCTATTTCTTTAAAGAGTAACCATTTTCTGCCTCTTGGACCCTTTTCCAACACAGTTCCTGCCAGACATAACATAATTATTTGATTTCATATCTTCAATTATAGAGAGACTGGATTCTTTTGTAACTGGGTTTCTAGTTGATCCGTCCTACCCAAGAAACCACAGACTGGCATTTCATCCTATTTTAGCCATCCATGGCCATAAAAAGGCCACTGAACATCATCATGACATGAGATCTACAAGTGATGCAGGTGTGATGTTTGATCATCATCACTGCTTCCTTTCACTCTCTAAGTCATTTGCTCATGAGTATCAGTGAAGTGGAGAATACAACTGTGATGGCTGTTCTTGGTTGTCAATGTGACTACATCTAAGGTCAACTAACAACCAGAAATACAGGACAGACCTATGGGCCATTTCTGCTTCATTTGAAGTAGGTATATTTATTTCTAGTGTAGATCTTTGATGTAGGAAGTCACACCTTTAATTCAGATCTTTAATTTAGATATAATCTGGACCATGCTTTCTGCTGAACCCATATAGAAGGACCTGGAAGAAGGAAGCTTTTCCTCTTTCTCTGCTTCCTCCACCTTCTTAGCACATCCATTCCTTCACTGGCATTAGAGCATACATTTTGAGATTACAGCATAGACTGCAGACAGCTGACACATCCAGACTTGTAGACTGAGCCACTACTGGGTTCTTGGACTTTCCATTTATAGCCAGCCATTGTTGGATTAGCCAGAGTACAGCTTGTAAGTCATTATAACAAATCCCTTTTCAATATATAGAGAGATTCATTTTATAACTTCTGTTGTGCTACAGAGCCCTGACTAACACACCAGGCATGTAGAGAGGACATTCTCAAACAGTTTGTGTCTCATAAGAGTCTCAGCTCACTTACAAATTCCCAATGGCCACCTTCCCTTAACCTTACCCTTCTCTAGGCACTTGTTTACTTCAGGGGACTCAACTCTCCTCCTCTACATAATCCTGACCAATTCTTGGCATGCTTTATTTCTCATATTATTGGGTATGGATATTAGAATGGTATTAGAGTCCATTTACAGGTTTCCTAGTGGCTTTACCCAGCCGGTTTGCATAGAGAGGATGATTGGACCACTGGCCTGAGTGCAGGTGTCTGAGATGGTCTGCACTTGGCTGTGCTGGGGGGAAGGTCTTTTGCTCCACCCCTTGGCATTCCTTTAAATACCCTAGTGCAGCGACAGCCAGGCCCCCTGGAGGTTATCCTGTATTTACTTTCTGTTTCTTCAATGTCTATACTTCTAAGTAATATTTGCTATTGCTCCTACTCAAGAGGATTCTGGGGAAATGCGGGGGTAATGAGTAGCCTCCCCATAGGATGAGAAGAGCCAACTATTGTCAGTATTTATAAATGAGCTTTCACCCCCTCATGGGTGAAGTAGTGAAAAGATTCTAATGAAGCAGAGAGAAATCTCTAGCTTTGGAAGGAGGAGGAGCTTCCCTTCCTTCTTCCCTTCTTCCCTTCTTCCACTTCCCACCTTTCCTTTCTTCCCTCCTTTCTCTTCTTCCCTCCTTTCCCTTCCTCCCTCCTTCTTTCCCTTCCTCCCTCCTTCTTCCCCTTCCTCCCCCTTTCCCCTTCCCCTTCCCCCTTCCTCATCTCCTCTTTCCCTTCATTCCCTTCCATTTTCCCTTCCCTTTTCACTTCCCTTTTCCCTTCCCTTCCCTTCTTCCCTTCTTCCCTTCCCCTTCCATTCCCCTTCTCTTCCCCTCCCCTTCCCTTCCCCTTCCCTTTCCCTTCCCTTTCCCTTCCCCTTCCCTTCCATTTCCCTTTCCCTTTCCCTTCCCTTCCCTTCTTCCCTTCCCTTTCCCTTCCCCTTCCATTCCCCTTCCCTTCCCCTCCCCTTCCCTTCCCCTTCCCTTCCCCTTCCCTTCCCCTTCCCTTCCCTTCCCTTCTTCCCTTCCCTTCCCCTTCCCTTTCCCTTCCCCTTCCCTTCCCCTTCCCTTTCCCTTCCCTTTCCCTTCCCCCTTCCCTTTTCCCTTTTCCCCTTCCCCTTCACCCCTTCCCCATCCCCTCTTCCCCTTCCCTTTTCCCTTCCCTTTTCCCTTCCCTTCCCCCTTCCCTTCCCTTCCCTTCCCTACCCTTCCCTTCCCTTCCCTTCCCTTCCCTTCCCTTCCCTTCCCTTCCCTTCCCTTCCCTTCCCTACCCTTCCCTTCCCTGTGTCTCAGCAGAGACTCCTGGAAAGAAACATCAGCTTCTGGTCAACTCAGGAAGAATTAGCAAGGAAGCAAAGGCTGTGCCCCATGACATCAGCAGTCTCTTCTCTGGAATTCTACTGTATCCTGCGGAGCTCTTGGAATACCCTATGATGTTACTAGTGTTGTAGCAACACCCTGTGAGCTTAGGACATTACTTCAGTGCTATAAGGTTCACCTACAGAGATGTGGTCAAGACTGAGACGTCTAGTTGAGAGAGTGAATACACAGCGTGGAGAGACCAGAGCGAGGAAGAAAGAAGCAGGCCCTAGGTCTCACTGGAAACCATGGAGAAATCTCTGGTGCTGGGGAAGACACAGTGAGTCCAGTAGGGCTGGCCAGCTTTCTGGATGTGATGGTCTTGAGCTTTTCAGAGCTAGGGCTCAAGAGCTGGGAACTTGTGGGAAGGAATAGGCCTATCCTGCTCTGGGTTCCTAAAGAGCAGACCCTGATCAAGGATCCATGAGGGTTAGTTTGGCAGAATCAGGAATTGACAAGGCTTTAGCTGCTTTGCTGGGTACCATCTGCTTTCACTCTGAGTGGGGAAGGAGGCACAGAGGAGTTAATGAGATATCTGTACCATAATTGTGTTCCCTCCTCCACACACTGGAGTTCTTTACTTGTGTGCCAATAAATAATAGGGAAAGGAGAGTGCCCTGGCAAGCCTGAGTTCTCATAATTGACATCACAGCCACTATCAGGGCAGGATCCACCAAGTACTGCAGTCTTCAAATGACCCCTGAGGTTTCTGGATACCAACTGTTGATGGCACACAGGTCTGCAGTTCAGCCTGAGAGCTGTTAGATTCAGTGGACCTGGACGGACACTGTCCCCATCCTGCCAGCTCTGGGTGTCTTGGATTGTCAGTGAGGATGGCTGTGAATCTGGTGACCATGTTCTGCCCCTGCATGGCTTCCCCCATTAACATGAGAGTCTGAAGCGTAGATTAAGTGAGGCAGGCATCCATAGACTACCTGAGTGTGACAGTAGCAATTTTCTCCTGGTTTTTCAAAGCACATGGCTGAGGGCTCTGAAGCTACAGTGTATTCTCTATAGCCGTGAATAAGCCTTAGGAGGATGCACCCTGGGTCACATTGTCTAGGGAGACAGAGGAAACCTGCTGACTTCTGAGATTTCCACCTCGCTATAGACAGATGGGAGAACTGACATCCACAGAGGAAGAGTCTCAAGTCTTGTCTTTGAGAAGCTGCTAGAGCAAAGTCTCATGTTCCAGTTACTTCCTGAGCATCCTTCAGTGTGTCAGGTTTGACTGAGATGAGGTGGTGCATAGAGCAGGTACTGTGCTTTGACTTCTAGAATAGGGAATTACTGAGATACTTCACTTTGTCTAAATTGGTTGTCAGTGTGATATAACATCTGAATGGAAAGGGTTTACCCCACATCAATCATTTGTTCTTTGTACCACCAAGTACACTTCTGAATCCACACTCCAGACTTCTGAAGAATTTGCAATCCAGGCTAAACATGGTGCTAGCTCCTCATTTCAGGACTGCCAGGAAATTCACAAGTGTGAACTGCGGCTCTGGGAATGGTCCAGGGCAAAGGACCCCTAATAATATGTCTCCTGTGTCTTTGGCCTGCCCTTCACATGCTCCAATGAGGATTCTTTAAGCTAGCTGTGCCCATTTCCTTCCTAAGGGCATGTGCATTGTCACAGGTGGCTCCAGATCAAGAAATTAGTCTTTGTGTAGCTCTAGTTGAAGCAACATAGCAGTGTCACACCACAGTCTCTCCCATGACTGTGACACATTTGCCCTTACATATCTGTGTATGGCATCCCCCTAGCCATTCATCTTTCCTCAATCTTGAGTGCAGGAATGGACGATTAATGGGAGTGTTTGCTCTTTTTGTCTCAGGGCTCACCTGGAGAACCCCAGTTCTTAGCATCTCCAGCCTGACATGTTACTAGTTGATCACACATTGGCTAATATTGTGTTGGCTGGAATTTATTGTACTGATGATTCAGGGAAATTTTTCTCACTAACTAAGGGACATTTCTTTGTTCTGACAGGACACCCATAAGCTCCACCACACCCACACACAGTAACAGCCTTGTGGATCCTCCACAATGTGCTTGTTGACATCAGGGGACTGATCTTTCCTCTCCTCCGTCCTGTCCTTTATTTCTCATGTTATTTAGCAAACTTTATTTCTCATGTTATTGTTTGGGGATCTCAACAAGGGGCCAGTCATTTCCTGGGATGTGTTTTGAAGTGAGTGTTCATCTTCCCATACATGAAGTAGTGATTATACTCTAATGAAACAGAAAGAGATCTCTGGCTTTGTAAGGAGGAGGTGTTGAAGGTCTTCCCTTGTGTTTCTGGGAAGGCTCCTGGGAATGGCAACATGGTTCTGGTGAAGTGGAGAAGAGCTAGTTAGTTGATAGTTGAGGTCTGCTGGAGGTGACCCTAATCATCCCTTCTATGGTGATTCTATTCTATCCTATGGTGATTCTATTCTATCCTGGAGAGTCCTTGGTAATATCTATGATGTCACCTGTGTTGTGGTAACACCAAGGCCTGTGGGTTATTCATTCAGTTCTCATAGACTCAGTTGGCAAGACTGAGCAGGCTGCTTGGGAGAGAGAATGGGGAACATGGAGAGACCAAAGAGAGGAAGAAGGAAGCTGGCCTCAGTGTCAAACCTGGAGAAATAGATGGTTCTGTCTAAGGCACAGTGACTCCTGAGCAGAGTAAGAGAAGTTTGCTGGAGGAAGTGAACTTGAACTGAGATTTCTGGTAGTAGAGCTCAGCAGCAGGGGGTTTCTGAGTAACAATGGGCCAATCCAGCTTCTCTGGCTTTCTAAAGAACAGAACCAGCGTCAAGAGTTTCTGATGGTTAGTTTCTGGAGAGCTATGAATTGTCCAGGCTGCAGCTGGGAATTCTTTCATTTCATTGTTAGAGGCAAAGAAGGGCAGGAGGAACAGATTGACTGCTGAGATGGCTCTCTCTGGGTAGGGTGTTGCTGCACTTCATCCCAGTGGATTTCTTCAGTTTCCATGGGAATATGATTCCAAAAGGAAGGGAAGGAACTCCCCTGACCACACAGCACATCTTCAGATGCTTTGGTCCTGGACACATGTGATCAGGACTGGGTGCTGCTAACTTCTAGGGACAAAAGGACTTAGCTGCATCACATCAGATATGACCTGACACTGTCCTCCAATTCTACATGGCTGGGCTTGCTTAGGCCTTCCAGGACCAGAGGGCTGCAATACGGAGGGAGGCACAAGATTATCCACAGTGCTTGAGGACAGAGTCAGAGCTCAGGGGGCCCAGTTTGAGGATAGCTGACCTGCTGTTTTGAAGCTTCACTGGGTTCATAGCATTTTCTCTTCCTTAGGCTTTGTCTTGGGACTCAGCATGGACTCTCCTGGCCCTATGCCATTCTAGAATACAAGTTCATTTGTCTTTGTCTATCTGCAGGGATTACTCGGGTGGCACCATCCCAATGCTCCACCTTCACTGAGCAGGAGCAGGAGCAGGAAATGAAAAAACTAGAGAAACTCACCATTCGTCTCCATGATATGGAATGTGAGAGAAATGAGCTACGTGGAATCCTGGCCAATTACACAAACAAGTATTTGAACAACAGGTAGTCTTTATTCCCAGTTCTCTGCTGGCCATCAAGACACCACAGTATCAAGCCGAGGTTTCCTGAGGAATCGGAGGGTGAAACTCCATGGTGTCCTGCTGCCTAAACTAATTTTCATGAGTTTTTTTAAGATGCAGAACTTGGAGCCTGGTTAGGAGTGAGATGGGGATGCAGGCTTGTCTGCTTCCTCCAATGAAAAGCAGAGCCTAAGGCTTGAATCACAGTCTAAGGATAGGGACAGTAGTGTGTGAGCTCTCATCAAGCACTTCAAGAGGTCTTGACATGTGTGGCTTGTGGGTGATGCTAGGTGTTGTGAGTTTGTGTTGAGTCTTTATACTTGACCAGCAGATGACCGTGTGCTGAAAGCTCCTGGCAGAAGCTGGAGGGGCCTGGTCCATTCATCCATCTCAGGGTGTGACTGGAAGGCCTGGAGCTCATCACAGCTCCCCTCTGGTCTTCTTATACTTTGTGACAATGCCACATGCCATTATTTCTTGGGCATCCTGATTTCATGTGTGGGGTGTGTGTATGTGTGTGTGTGTGTGTGTGTGTGTGTGTGTGTGTGTGTGTGTGTGTGTGTTCCTGAGAGTCTGAGAGCATGGTCTGAGGATTTAACATAGCTTCCAGATGATGGCACTGCTGAGGCCAGGGAACCCCACTTTGAGCTCTGTGCTCACCTTGGTTGAACATTCGAATCACATGTGAAGTTTACAAAACCATCCTGAAGTTGGGGCTCCCTCCTGGAAGTACTGATTGTGTGCTCTGGTCCTCTGTGTAGCAATAGACACCCAGGAATTAGAATCCCTGATCTGAAGACAGGAGAATGTCCCCATAGGTTTCTGGTGAGTCCACATATGTGACACAGACTCCTGAGAACTTCTTAGAGTGCTTATCTAGAGCTCCAAGCCCACTGTGGGTGCTCATGCATCATTGGATTCCTCCCCTTAGACCTCCTGGCTGTTCTGTCCTGGGGACAGGATAGGACGGTTAATAAGCACCAGGAGGTCCCACTGTTTAAGTGCCAAGATTTGGCATCCACTGCACTGGAGTAGTCCATGGCACAGCTTCTTTCATGTGTTCCTTTTGGCCTGTGTTCATGGGTTTTTTTCCCTCCTGGGTCCATGCCCTACCACAGGCTAAATTTTGAACTCGAGATGCTTGAAATGGAACACAAGCAGGTGATGTCAGGTCTCCAGAAATTGCCCATGGAGATTAGTGATGCCTTAAACAAGTGCAAGGGGCTGATTGAGGAGACTGAAATCTTTAGGTAAGTGCCTACTAGCTTGGGAGGGACTGTTTCTGCCTTTCTTTGTCCTTGACTCAAAGTGAAGGCTCTGGTTCTAGCCTGTGTGACTCTTAGCCAGCATCCTCCTTTGTGACCCTTGGATTTGTGCCTCTTGGACTCAGTTTTGCTAAGTGTGGAAAAACACTGAGGCCCTCCCATCATTGTCCAGCTGTGGGAGCCCTTAGATAGGAATATCCTTTGCATCATGAAGGGAATGTCCTGCAGCCCAGGGCCTCCAGGACTCTGGTTGAAACTTCACAGTTCTGGTTTGCCTGGGATCTGTAGAGAGAATTTATTCTGGTTGGGACTTCTGCCCTCCTTCAGAGAGTGTTTGCCCTCTACCTGCTGATGCTTTCCCAAGACCATGAGCAGTTAAGCACAGGTGTGGGCTGCACCCTGTTCTTAGAGGCACAGGATCCCTTTTGGTACCAGGATTTTCAGAAGTAATTTGAATCTATCGGGAATTTGGTTATTCTCTGGATTTGGCCTGTATTTGAGTGATGCTGCCTTGGATACTGAGAGCTCCATTCTTGTGGGGTCTGGGGGCCTCCGACTTTTCAGGGTTAGTAGCATTTAGAAGTAGAGATGGCAAATTCAGCCTCTCTGAGACCCACCATTTCTTTTTTTGGTGGTTCAGTTACCTCCATGGCCGGTTCCTACAAGAGTGTAATCACCTAAAGAAGAATGTACGTGTGTTGACGATCCAGAGCACACAGCTGTGGAAGGAGCAGATTGAACTGCAAAAGACCTGTGAGGCGGTGAAGAAGCTCTTGAAGGAGGCCCATGAGAAGATCTGTGACCCCTGTGCTGACCAGCAGCAGGTAGGCTGAGGCACTAGGGGCAGGCTGCCCACCTGTCCAACCATAGACATAGAGACACCAGTGTAACCATCCACCATCCATGCAGACTCCCACTTACATACCATCCAATTGTTCATATCTGTGATCATTCACAAGTCTCTCTGTAGAGTTAGCCTCTTTCAAGATACTGGATGATTGGCAAACAAACCCTCCTGCTCTGCTAGAAGCTGCAGTACATTCAGAGAGATGGGTCAGTCAGCTATAACACACCTACCTACATGTTATTATGTTACCAGTCTGCTATGCAGAGAGCTACTTGGAGAATATCACAGAGCTCTCATTGATTAGGTCAGTGTCCTGTGGCTCATTTGCTTTGCAGATGTCATGTGAGATCACAGGTAGGCAACAGCTTGTAAGAATTAAAGCCCAGGGCCATTGCAAAGTGAGTAGTTCTCATTTTGGGGTCAATTTTGGGGTGGCATTTGGTTTTCTCCTTTCTTCCTACATCCCAGTGTGCTCTCTACCCTTAGCTTAACTCTTGGTTCATACTGTCAGAGGCCTGAGTATCAGCTTGTCAGCCTGTTTTCTGTGGGTGGTGCTGGACAGTTCTCCCATCCTGGAGTTTCCAGTCTGGAGCTGACTGAATGACCATAGATGTGGGAGGACTTTGACAGCCTGAGAGTTGGAGTGACAGATTTGAGGCTTCAAGAGAACATTTTCTCCAATCACTTCAACATAGTTTGACTAAGCTGTGTGCTCTCCTCTAGGCATTTTTAGTTCCCAAGTGACGGATAGCTGTGTTGTAAGTCTCTGCTGAAACATGTGATGTGCATAGTCTAAATTCAATTGTTCACTCAATACGATGTACCCTTCCTTGTTTTCTGCTCACTTTTGATTTCTGTGGTCGGTGTGTGATCTATGCAGGCATGTGTAAATGTGTGCATATGTGTGTGTACAGAGGCTACATAATGAAATCCTATGTTGTCATCTGTTGTTCTCTCCCTTGTTCACTTGAGCCCAGGTCATTTACTGAACCTAAAAATTTCTGTTTGGGCCATTCTGGCTGGCCAGCACTATAGCTCCCCTGTTCCCCAGGGGGACCATTCGTCTTGTCTCACGTAATTGTCGTAAGTATAAATTGCTTTCTGTTATGTTTATACACTTTTATTGCTTGCGTGTACATGTGTTTTTTAATAAATAACAAAAATCAAATAATACAGGTATTTTAAAAATAAAATTAGACTTCTTCCTTTTCACTACACAAAGCTAACACAACAGGAAGTGTCTGGTTTGTCTCATTGGCTTCACAACACGGAATCCCACAGTGCATCTCTTTGCTGACACTGTGTTGCTGACTATATCATGTGCATGGCTGTGTCTTAGAACAGATTCCCTCTCATAGCTGTGTGGAGTGCTGTGTTCCTGAAAAGCACTGCAGTTGATGTCTCTGGCCTCTTTCTGACTGACATTGGGGTGAATTCATATCATATGCACTGTAATCTGTTGACAACCTCCTGGGTGTTGACCATGGGTCACTCTCTTTCACTTGAGCTATCCAGGTCTTCTTGGAGGAGCTAGGGTAAGTCTAGTGAAGAGATTATGATGGATTAACTTGCAACCTGTGGGATCAGTGAGTCTTGGGATGTATAAAGTTCATGGAAGGAAAAGAGTACAGGCCAGGGTAGCAGAGGCTGGCTGAATCTAAGAGCCTTGTACACAGCAAGGAAGACCCATGACCTCCCCCAGAGCAGAAAAGCTGCTACAAGGCTGCAGTCCTCTCTTGGCCATATGTTCAGGAAGTGTGTGTGTGTGTGTGTGTGTGTGTGTGTGTGTGTGTATCTGTGTTTGCATTTCTGTCCAACTGTGAGGGTGAACCTCTGTGTATGTGTGAATTCTGGCTGTTCTTTCTACAGTAGTGTTCCTTTATGTTTGTGTTTATGACCTTGTGTGGGTTAATGGGTGTTTCTGTGCCCATGTTTCCTGTATGCGTAATGGTAAGTGCTTGTGTGTGTTGGGAGTATGGGTGCTTATGAGTGCAAGTATGTGCTTCTGTGTGTGAATGTGTAAACTTGTTTGTGTGTGTGTGTGTGTGTGTGTGTGTGTGTGTGTGTGTGTGTGTATTTCTCCAAATTTCTTCATGAAACATCTTTAATGATGATGGAGACCCAACATTATTGAGAATGTACTCTGCCCACACACTTGGCATCAATCAAATTTTGTATTCTTTTGCCCATCTTTCTACATGTCCACCTAGCTCTCTAGAATGAAAGGACAGAAAAACTGCTGTAATTCAGTGGTTTTCAGTATTTGTAGAGTCAAAAACTTTTATCTGCAAGGAAATCCTTGGAGCAAACCAAAGGAACATGGTACAGGAAATTGAGGCCATTGTGTCTTTGAGGCAGGATTGGCTGGCTGAGAGTTTGTGTCCCTTCTCTGCCCTGGGTGAATGGTGACTGCATACTCAATGGTCTGTGGCTTACTTTGTCTTCTCTGTGCCCTGTCTTGTCCTCATCCACATTGCCTGCTACCACTTTCTTTCCACTTTTGCCTAACCTTGGCTCAGTTTACCTTGGCTGTGGCGCTTGGACTGGATGTTATTTGTTGAGAGAGTCTGACTTGCAGTGTGCATCTTTCTGCATCCAAGTCTAGCAGAAGTCCCCTAGCCGTGCTGAGGTGTGAGAAGGGGGCTGTCTCAGCACACCCAACTTAGGCTCATGATGGTGTAAAGCACTCACCATGTGCTGTGCCTGCAGCACTCAGTAACTGCTTTTCTTCAGAGTTCTTCATTCTGAGTTAAAATCTGCCTCATGATGGCTGGGAGAAATGAGAACCCTCAGACATTGTTGGTCACATAAAATGATATAGTGCAGTGAGAAGCCACACACACTTCTTCAGAATGTTGAACTGCAATCCCCAGGTGACACAGTGATCCAGAACATGAAGTAGATGTCTCTAGAGAAGCTAGAGGGCAGCAGAGTTTTAGCAGCGTTCCTCAAAGTAGCCTCTAGCAGAAACTATCTAGATGTCCATTATTGGAAGAGTGTAGTACAGTGTGGTTGAGCCCTTCCATGGAATATCATTTGACTCTGATTTAGTCAGCCTTTTGTTACTCATACAAACTTCTGAAATGATCACCTTACAGGGAGGAACTGTTCCTTTTGGATCCTGGTTGTGGAGATTTTCTAGTTTCCTGCGCTCATTGCTTTGGGTCTGAAGTGAGGCAGCCTGTGGTAAAGGGATCTTCTCATGGAGGAATTTGCTCACTTTGAGGGCAATTGGGAAGCCCTGAACAAGATCAGTCATCTGGTCCACCACCAAGCAGTGGTCCTGTGCTGGGGTTAATTCCTATACTGCACAGCTTGGGGAACTTCCTAGGCAGGGTTGGCTCATGGGCCAGGACCCTGGAGGTTACCTGCCTGTGCATTAGTTTACAGGACAGGCAATTCAGGGTCTGAACTGCCTATCTCTCATGCTCAGTGTGTTGGTTTCTCATCCAAGAAAACTTAATCTTCTTCTCAATAGTATTTCTGGTGATTGCTCTTTATATTGCATTAGCTGGGAACCTAAACATGTTAGTGCATTACAGTGTGCTTCTATGTGTGCATCCATGTACTTGTGTGCTTTCATGACTTTATGTGTGTCCATGTGAGTGAGCAAAAGTCCACTGAGAACACAATCTTCTAATGCACAGGAGCAGGAAAACCTGGAGGAAACACTGAAGGACCTGCTGAAGCAGAAGGAGCTGGTCACCCAGCAAAGGGACTTGGCAGAAAAGCTGCAACATCACTTCAATGTCTCTGAGATGAGGTAGGAGCCCAAGCTGGGAGGAGTGGTTAGAACCGTGTAGGTCACCTGTACCTGGATCTCTGTCCTTTTTGGGATTCTCCCCATCTGGATGGCTCTCAGCCAAACAAGACAAATGCAAGCAAGCTAGATTAGGTCCAGGTGCGCGGAAGCAAGCCAGATCCTAGCCTTAGCCAAATAAGGAGTTGTTTATCCCAGAGAACACCTGCCATAGGGAAGGCGGAAGCCGGATGCTGGCATTATCTTTGAGGCGCGGCCTTGCAGGGCTCTCTACACTTGAGCAAATGGCTCCCTTAGAGAGTGAAAGGAAGGAGTGACAATAATCATGTTACATCTAGTTCAGCTGTAGATCCCATGGTCATGATGACTTTATTGGCCTCCTTATGGCCATGGATGGCTGAAATAGGACTAACCACCCATCTCTGGTTCTTGGGAACAAGGGATCAGCCGGAGATAAGACATTGAAATAAGTATGATGTCCCTTTTAGTAACTGTGGTGGAAAGGGGCCCAGGAGTGAGAAATGTGTGTTCTTTAGAAAGAGGAAGAAAGGCCCAACACAGCAAACACATTGCAGCAGTCAGAAAGAGTGGGGTTACTAGGGCATGTGTTTTGGCCTTTAAATCCTCTAGACCCCTTCTTGCTCACTCCATGCATCCTGAAATGGAAAGACAAATGAAAAAAAAATCCACAAGAAGCCAAAATTCCCTCTTAACACAGAGGGCCAGGGAAGACTTCTGTGGAGTCTTCATTCTATACAACAGCTAGAAGACTCCAATTGCTTTCAAAGAAAAAATGGTTTATTAGGATTTGAAGTTTACTGGTGGTCAAAGAGGCAGGATTTGGAAGCAGCAGCACTAGGAACCACATAATAGTCCAGAACTAAATCTTATTGCAGAGCTCCCATTGACACTACCATGGTGAGCGAGGGCACTGCAGTGTGTGTCCCCAAGAATACTGGCTTTAGACAATGTTCCTTGTGCTGCTTCAGAAGATTGCAACATCTACAGATCTGAAAATGAGATGCAGCCTTTCCCATGTCATCAAGCAGAATGGACTCCTCCATTTCTCTAGAACATAAGCTCTGGCATCCAGTTGATGTCTCAGGCTTGTATTTGGGACCTGGTCTCTGCAGTAAGGGTAAGGGCTTCTCAATCTTCCATCAAAACACTGTGAGGATGGTCAAAGGTGCTGTCAGCCAACATTCCCACCCCATGTTCATCCTGCAGCCTCCAGAAGGGATTTCAATAGTCAAATGTATCAACTTTTCCTTTGTGGCTCGGGCTTATGTTCACTCAATATTTTAAATATTTCATTCTCTGACATAAATCCTTTTAAATTTTCTTTCTACAATTGCAGTTTAACTTTGGACATAGAATTTTATTCATCAATGATCACGTTTTTTTTGTAGCAAACTGAGGCTTATGTTTTCTTCTTTATGGCTTGCTATGATGGCTAATATTGGAAGTCTACTTGACACATAGTTGAGGAACTTACACCATCAGAATGGCTTGCAGCATGCTTTTTTGACATTTTCTTGATTGCTATTTGATTTTGGAAGGCTCAGCCCTCTGGGTAGTGCTATCCCTAGACAAGAGAGCCTAGGCCATAGAGGAAAGGTAGCTGACCAGAGCAATGGGCAATGTTCCTCTGTGGTTTCAAGCCCCTGCCTTGTGATCTTGCCGTGGCTTCCTTTGATGATGGATTGTAACCTGTGAGGTGTTGTGGGACTTCAGTCCTTGTAATTCTCCTGTATTTGTTATTGAAAATGGAGAATGCTGACACATATGAGGGCCATAAATAAAATAATTCAATCAATGGGCTCTCTACAGCCTGGAATGCCTTTGCCTTCTCTGTTACCTAAAGAATGGCCTGTTATACTATTGTCTTAAAAAACTGTTCCTTCACTATACCTCTACAAGAAAAGGATAGGGAAAAGTTTGCCTCGATGGTATGTACTTATAATAATTCTCAGCTTTTTAAGAGATATCAATAGAAGATATCTGCAACCGGGAATGTTAAAAGGTCTACCCTGTGCCAATAATTTGTTCTAAAACCGATGGAAATAATTAATGTACAATTTCCACAATCTATAATATATCATTATATTGACAAGATGTTTTCTTTTTGAAAATATAAAAATAAATTTATTTGTTATATTTTCCCCTTAGTCAGTAAGTCTCATCATCCACAGCAAAATAGCCAACTTGTTTGATATGCAATAACAACAACCAATCATTGTAATTAATTATCTGGATTGATAGATTAACAAACATTTGAAAGTATACAACTTTCCTCTGCCTTGCTCATTTTCATGTATCATGTTGTAGATGTAATTCGGTGTAGATGTAGCCAACGGTTTTATCTGACAAGAAACACAGAGCTGATTCAGAGAAGAAAGCCAAGAGGTCAGAGCCAAGAGCCTCACCCTTCCTGATTCAGGGATCCTCCTCAGCCCAGAGAGCTCTCCAAAAGAGAGAGCCCTACTTCCTGTGTCTCTGTCTCTATTCTCCTTGTTCTGGCTTCTGATTGGTTGTAAACCCAATCATGTGACTGCCTCGTCACTGCCTGTATGTACCGCCCTCCAGGTCCTTAAAGGCGTACACCACCACTGCCACGCACTTGCTATGGCTCTAATAGCTCTGACCCCCAGGCAACTTTATTTATTATACCACCACATTTCCCCTTTTCTAATTTAATAAAAAGGAAAAAAAAGTAAAAGGTTATAACTAACAAAAGAAAAACTACATACAAAAAGTACAATAACTATATACAATGTCTAAATAATTTCTAGTCCATTCTTCTTGGCTGTGTATATATGGCTTCATCTCAGCATCCCGTTCTTCTCCACATCCCTCTGTCAAATGCCATATTCTGTAGATCTCTGAAGGGTTTGAAGATGACCTGTCTAAAATATATCTGCTCAATTTTTTTTTTTTTTTTTTTTTTTTTTTTTTTTTTTTTTTTTTTTTTTATTGTAGACAATGAATTTAATTTGATTTGGAGAACAAGCACGATCAAAATAATCACACCATTCATTGAAAGTTTATATTTAAGGACACTTGGAAGGATAACTGTTCACTTTACATAAAATAGAGATTATCTTCTATGTATTCTGGCTTGTCAAATGATACAAAGCCTAATTTTTTTTTTTTTTTCAATCTTAAAATGTATTTATTTTTTTTTCCCCTTTTCTATTTTAATAAAAAGGAAAAAAAAGAAAAAGGTTATAACTAACAAAAGAAAAATTATATACCTTGTGTACATCCTACCTCACAAATGAGTCTGTCAGATATGCTAAGCCTATAGGCTGAAGATGATGCCCCAACACTGTGGAGAAACCTCAGGTGACTGTCCAGGCAGCTGGCTGTTTCTGTCAACTCACAAATTTTTTGGAAGTTGCTTGCATGCACTTTCTGTTTTTATTTTTGTTAGCTAATATTATTTCCTTCTTGGGTCTCTGAGGGAGTTGAAGATTAGTTAGTTATAGTTGAAGGTTAGTTAGTTATAGTTGAAGATTAATTAGGATAGAAAGTGAATTAGATACATTTTGGACTTAACAAAATAGGATAGATAATGAAATTATTTTCTCTGAATTTGTCAAATACAAATGGACTAGACATTGTTTAGACATTTATTACTTGTATATATTGTATATAGTCATTGTACTTTTGTATATCTGCTCAATTTTTAAAACATATCTAATATGACTACAAGTTCATTGTAATGTCTAACTACTAACTTTCATTTCTTTATATCCTAATCGTTGGTAATAATAACATTCAAGGATCAGAAAGTTGCATTGTTAAATGAACGGTATAAGTACAATTAGAAATATACATATAGCATTTTCTAACAATATCAATTCCAATATATATAACTTGTATACAATATAAAACAATCCAATCCAATGTAAAATACTTAAAACTAGTAATTGTCTTTTTCTTCTTCTTTCTTTCTTTCTTTCTTTTTTTTTAAATAAGAACCTTAAATCTAATCTCCTTTGCTTAGCCTTTTTCCTACCCCTTGACAACAACTTGTAACCAACCCCCTAAACAATGAAAACTATCCCAGACCCAAAACCCATTAAAAAGACCAAAAAACCACCTGCCCCACACCACCTCTTTGGGAATGTGGGCGTCGTATTGTTAAAATTGCTTCCTACTGGGTATGGGCGAAGTTATCTTTATCCTGAAAGAAAAATTTTAGGTTAATTGTCAAATTCTAGGAAAGGTAACCATATCCTTCATTATCCAGTCTGTGTATAATGCCAAAATTCAGGGTTTATCTCAAGTCCTTATTCAAGTAGTCTTTGAGACTGGATCATCTCAGCTAGTCTTCTCAAAATTACTCTGAGCACCTTGTAGTTCAAAGCTGATCAGTTGTCTCATCTGTCCAGTGTTCTTCAGATTCCTTAACCTTCATTCTCCTAAAAGACAAAAACAAAAACCTTTCCCCAAGACTAATTTTGGGGATGTTCCTTTTTGGCAAGTTATTATCTGATTAAATGAAAAGACATGTGTTACTGGTATAAGTTAGTTTAAATTGGATGTTCATGTTGGTTGATGAACTATCACCTCCTCTAATTAAGAGGTTTCTCTTGTTCAAATCGAACCTTTATCAATTTTGATGGTACCCACAACTTATCTTCTCCTGTAGAAACAAAAGCAAAACCTCTTCCCCAATGTAACACATACCCTGGTTTCCATTCTGAGGCCAGCACATCCTTAAAGTATATAGGCTGATTTAATTCTGTAGTTTTTTCTATCATCCAATGTCTCTCTGCAGCTGTTGTTCCTTTCTCATTGGTATTAAGAAAATTCAAAGTTAATAGAGCATTATGCAGTCTGTTTCTGGGGGGTTTTGCTACCCCTTTCTGTTTATTTAGCATATCCTTTAGAGTTCTGTTTGATCTTTCTATAACTGCTTGACCTGTAGGATTATGTGGTATGCCTGTAATATGCTTTATATTGTAATAAGCAAAAAACTGTATCATTTTAACAGA